CAGCAGCAGCAGCAGCAGCAGCAGCAGCAGCAGAAGCAACTTCGGCAGCAGCATTATCAGCAGGAGAAGCGAAACTAAACAAGCAAACAAACAAACAAATAAATAAATAAATAAATAAATAAAACATAATTAGACGAATAAATAAATAAGTGGATAAATTAAATAAATAAACAAACAAATAAATAAATAAATAAATAAATAAATAAATAAACAAGTAAATAAATAAACAATAATATATATATATATATATATATATTTGGGGTGTATGGACACATGTGCAGCTGCTGAATTGCTTCCGTTCTCCGGATGTAGTTGTTTGGTCGGCAGTTTGCTGCTCTTGTGCATTTCCGTTTTTAACATTACCGATGCCTCTATTAAAAAGAGAAGACGAAGGTAGGCTGTGCTGGTTCCTGCTGCATCAAGCGCAGCAGCAGCAGCAGCCCCCGTACTTTCTTGACGGGTCGCTGTCTGGAGATGTGCCGCTTAAAGCTATTCATGAAGAAGTTAATGCACCCTCCTTTGCACTTGTTTCACAGGTACTGCTACTTTTCATGCTGCTGCTCATCCATCTGCTGCTGCTGCTGCTGCTCATCCATCTGCTGCTGCTGCTGCTCATCCAAGTGCTGCTGATGATGCAAGTGCTGCTGCTGCTCATCCAAGTGCTGCTGCTACTCATCCAAGTGCTGCTGCTGCTCATGCAAGTGCTGCTGCTGCTCATGCAAGTGCTGCTGCTGTAGATGTTGATGTTGTTGCTGTAGATACTGCTGCACATTTTGACGCTGCTGCTGCGGATGCTGCTTCTATTTGCGTTGCTGCACATCCTTTTGCTGTTGCTGCTGCTGTTGCTGCTGCTGCTGCTGTTGCTGCTGCAGGTTAATCCGCATATATTTCCCTTCTCAGGGATTCGGGCCCATGGAGAGGCAGGAAAGCCTGTAAGTCTTGCTGCTGCTGTTGCTGCTGCTGTTGCTGCTGCTGCTGCTGCTGCTGTTGCTTCTGCTGTTGCTGCTATTACTTCTACTGCTGCTGGAGCTGCAGCGGCTGCTGCTGTTGCAATTCGGTCTCCAGGTCTTCCTTCAAACTCCTCAGAGTGTTGTAGGGTTTAGGGTTTAGGGTTTAGGGTTTGGAGTGTACACGCAGGTGAGCTGGAGAGGAGCCGGAGGGAAGTGGCGAGGCGGCTTCATCTTATCAGGGTTGGAGGTCTTCCTTAAAGAGCATCTCGTGCGCCCCTAGGGTTTAGGGTTTAGGGTTTAGGGTTTAGGGTTTAGGGTTTTAGGTGGAGGGAGAAGAGTCTAGGGCTTCAGGGACGTTGGCTGCAGCGTTGACGACGAAGGTTTAGGGTTTAGGGTTTAAGGTTTAGGGTTTGGGGTTTAGGGTTTGGGGTTTGGGGTTTAGGGTTTAGGGTTTAGGGTTTAGGGTTTGTGCGTTCAGCGGTTTTTGTTGCGGCTGATTGCTTTGCTCAACGTCAGCCCAACTCTCCGCGGAATCAACGCCCGCGCTCTCGCCCTACAGGTGCTCCGACAGCTAGCTAGCTAGCTAGCTAGCTACAAGGATAGCTAGCTAGCTAGCTAATTATATATATATATATATAGAAGGCTAGTTAGCTAGCTAGTCAGCTAGATAGCTAAGTACTTAGTCGTAAAACTAGTCAGTCAGCTAGCTAGCTAGTTAGCTAGCTAGCTATCTATCTGTCTACTTAGCTAGCTAGCTAGCTATTGATACGTTTTGCTAGCTCCGTGTGCGCATCTGTCTGCTGGCTGAAGCAGCAGACATACAGCGGCTGCACCTTCTGTTCTCGCTAAGGGTTTAGGGTTTAGGGTTTAGGGTTTGGGGTGTCTATGCAGCCGTACACTGGAGATATAACAGTTTACCCTCGGAGGCTGCACTGGAGGCATCTCCGCCTTATGAACGACCAAACCCTAGATGATGTTACCTGGTATGCAAACCCTAAACCCTAAACCCTAAACCCTAAACCCTAAACCCTAAACACGAAACCCTAGACCCGAAGGGGATTATGTGCTGCGTTGCGAAGGCGGCAGCACTCCGCCGCATTTGCTGATGCTGCTGCTGCTGATGCTGCAGCAGGGAAGGCGAAAGCAACAGCTGCTGAGAGAGGTTTAGGGTTTAGGGTTTAGGGTTTGAGGTGCGGATGTGTGCAGGTATGTACAAGAAGGGAGACTCATGACTTTCCCGAAGCTTCATCTCATCAGGTTCGCTGCTGCTGCTGTTGCTGCTGCTGCTGCTGCTGCTGTTACTGCTGCTGCTGTTGCTGGTGTTGCTATACTGGACCTATCTTTGCTGCTGCTGCTGCGGCTGCTGCGGTGTATGCGCAGCAACAGGATTCGTATTGAGAAGGCTATAGACGCTGTTGTTGCTGCAGTAAACGCAGCAGACACCCAAGGCGTTGCTGCCTAGTGCAGCAGCAGCAGCAACAACAGCAGCAGCAATAGTAGCAGCAGCCACAGGTGCAGCAATAGAAGCAGAAGCGCGCATGCTGCTGCACCAGTACAACAGGCTGACAGCAACAGCAGCTGCAGCAACAGAAGCAGCAACGGCTGCAGCAACAGCAGCAGGTGCAGCACAATGCGCAGAGTGCAGCCTTGATGTTTTTGTTTTGTTTGCTTGGCTTATTTAAGTTGTCCTTTGCTTCTTAGGAATTACTCCTTCTAGCGAGGGTTTAGGGTTTAGGGTTTAGGGTTTAGGGTTTAGGGTTTAGACTGCGCTTAGAAGAATTCAGTTCAAAGGACTCAATACTCCAAAACGCAACTGCTGCAAAAATTGCTGCTGCTGCTGCTGCTGCAGCTGCCTTTGCTGCTGCAGCTGCATCTGCTACTGTTGCTGCAGCTTGCCGCCGCAGCTGCCTTTGCTGCTGCAGCTGCCTTTGCTGCTGTAGCTGCAGCTTGCTGCTGCAGTTGCCTTTGCTGCTGCAGCTGCTTTTGCTGCTGTTGCTGTTGCTGCAGCTGCCTTTGCTGCTGCAGCTCCCTTTGCTGCTGCAGCTTCATTTGCTGCTGCTGCTATCTGAAGCCTTTGTAAGCCCTTAAAGCCTCATCGGGGGCATCTGCGTTGCGTGCAGCGATGGTAGAGAAGCAGAGGGCCGCAGCACCTGCTGCTGCTGCTGCTGCTGCTGCTGCTGCTGCAGCAAGAGGTGCTGCGCTGGCAGCTGACTTGAATGCCTTTGGGGCTGCTGTCTCTGCAGGTGGAGTTGCTGCATTTGAAAGGCTAGCTGCTGCTGCTGCTGCATTTGCTGCTGCTGCTGCTGCTGGTGCTGGTGCTGCCTCACCACCTGCTGCTGCACTTGCTGCTGCACTTGCTGCTGCTGCTGCGTTTGCTGCTTCTGCTTCGCTGATGCTGCTCCTCCCATCCAGCTAAGGACACCAGCAAACCAACCGCCTGCAGCAGGCTTCTGCTCATCCTGCATTTGCTGCTGCTGCTGCTGCTGTTGCTGCATTTGCTGCTGCTGTTGCTGCTGCTGCTGAAGCATGTGCTGTTGCATTTGCTGCTGCTGCAGCATTTGTTCCCGCATCATGCCGAACATTTGTTGCTGTTGCTGTTGCTGTTGTTGAGGCAACAACTGCTGCTGCTGCTGCTGCTGCTGCTGCTGCGCAGTAGGAGCAATTCCTGCTGGAGTGCTTACTGCAGCAGCAGCAGCAGCAGCAGCAGCAGCAGGTGAGTGGGGTGCAGCATCTGCAGGATAGCAATTAATAAAAGCAGTAATGCCGTTAGACAGACCCAGCTGATGCCTTCTAATATTTCTGCTTAGTTCTGCTGCTTCTACTTGCTGCCGCTCTTTGAGCTGAGCAGCAGCAAACATAAAGAAATCCTCTTCACCTGCCGCAGTAAACCGCGACATCGGCGCTCTAAATATACACCCCACACAAACCACAAACCACAAACCCTAAACCCTAAACCCTAAACCCTAAAATGAGGTGCTAAAGTGCAGCTCAAATCAAGTGCTGCGCTCGACAAACTTTCTCTTTGGGCCTCCTAGGGTTTAGGGTTTATGGTTTTAGGGTTTAGTGTTTTAGGGTTTAGGGTTTTAGGGTTTAGGGTTTAGGGTTTACAGTCCGCGCTGCATCAAATCTAAAAGAAATTCGTCTAATGATAAACCACCGAGCCAAGCACGCCCATCTCCTCCTGAAAGCAAACAACACATGCTGCTGCTGCTGCTGCTGCTGCTGCTGCTAGGGGTGCTGCTGCTGCTGTTAGGGGTGGTGGCGGTGGTGGTGGTGCTGCTGCTAAGGCACCGCTTCAGGGTTTAGGGTTTAGGGTTTACCGTGGGGGTCGCCTGTGCACGTGATTATCTCCTCCTCTACAGGGGCTGCGAGCTGCTGCAGAATTAGCTGCAACTCTTGCTGCTGTTGCTGCTTTTGCTGCTGCTTTTGCTTCTGCTGCTGCTGCTGCTGTAAACGATGTTGCTCTTGCTGCTGCTGCTGCAATCGGCGTTGCTCTAGCTGCTGCTGCTGCAGTTGTTGCTGCTGCAGCTGCTGCTGCTGCAGTTGCTGCTGTTGCAGTTGCTGCTGCTGCAGTTGCTGCTGTTGCAGTTGCTGCTGCTGCAGCTGTAGCTGCTGCTGCAATTGCTGCTGTTGCATCTGCTGCTGATGCATCTGCTCTCGCTGCTGCATCTGTCCTGGCTGCTGCTGCAGCTGTTGCTGCTGCAGTTGCTGCTGCTGCGCTTGTTGCTGTAGCAGCAATTGCTGCTGCAGAAGCTGCTGTTGCTGCAGCCCTTCCTTCTGCTGCAGCTGCCCCGGAAGCAGCACCGGGTGCAGCTGCTGTTGCTCTTGCTGCCTTTGCTGCAACTGCTGTTGTTGCTGCAGCTGCTGTTGCTGCTGCAGCTGCTGTTGCTCCTGCAGCTGCTGTTGTTGCTGCAGCTGTTGTTGCTGCATCTGCTGTCGCTGGAGCTGTTGCTGCAGCTGCTGCTGCGGGTGTTGCTGTTGTTGCTGCTGTTGCATGAGGTGCTGCTGTTGCATGTGATCTTGTTGCAGCTGCAGCATCTGCTGCTGCTGCTGCTGCTCTTGCTGCACCTGACGTACTTGGTGTTCGTGCTGCTGCTGCTGCTGCTGTTGCTGCTGCTGCTGCAGCTCATTTGCTGCAGCAGCAGAAACAGAAGCACTGGAGAAGCCACGACCCAGAGAGGGCTCCAGCAAAGGAGAGCGACTGCCGCTCCTGCTGCTGTTGCTGTTGCTGTTGCTATTGCTGCTGTTGTTGCTGCTGCTGCTGCTGCTGCGCCTAGGGTCATCTGTAGATATGCTGAGTGCCTCGTCGCTTGAGTGTTGCTGTTGCTGCAGCATTTGCTGCTGTTGCAGCAATTGCTGCTGCTGTAGCATTTGCTGCTGGTACTTATCGGCGTTGTGTGCCTCTTGATGTGCTGCTGCTGCTGCTGCTGCAGTATTGCATTCTGTATTGAATGATGGCAAGCTGCTGCGATCTAAGTGCTGCTGCAGCTGCTGCTGCAGCTGCTGCTGCTTCTGCTGTTGCTGCAGTGCCAGCTGCAGCTGCTGCTTGCGCTGCTGCAGCAAATATATTTGCTTCTCTTCATTTCTTTTAAGTGTCTCTACTTCTAACAAAGATGCAGGCATAGAGGCATCCTCTGTCTCTTCCACAGCATCTGCTGCAGCAGCTCCTGCTGCTGCTGCTGCTGCTGATGCTGCTGCTGCTGCTGCTGCTGGAGAGATAAGCTCAAGAGAGACAGAAGGCGCCATAGTGCTGCGGGAGGGCAGCAGCTGGTGCTGCTGCAGCGCAGCAGCAGAAGACTTAAAGAAATGAAAGCGAGAGGCGCTGCTGCTGCGAATGAGAGTGGATGTGCTGCTGCTGCTGCTGGTGATGCTGCTGCTGATGCTGCTGCCGCTGCTGCTGATGCTGCTGCTGATGCTGCTGCTGTAAGAGGGCACTGCAGGAGACAAACTGCGCCGAAGTCTAAAGGACGAGCTGCTGCTGCTGCTGCTGATGCTGTTGTTGCTGCTGCTGCTGTTGTTGTTGTTGCTGCTGCTGCAGCTGTAAGGAGACATATCGGATTCATCATCGTACATCTGCTGCTGCTGCAGCTGCTGGCTGCTGAGGTTGCAAACACCCTCTTCTGCTGCAGCATTAGCCCTTCTCTTCGCTGCTGCTGCTGCTGCTGCTGATGAAGGCCTGAGACTGTTTGCCTCCCTCGCATCAACAGCCTCTTCAGGGTCGCTGTTGCTGCTGTTGCTGCTGTTGCTGCTGCTGCTGTTGGTGCTTCTGCTACTGGTTGCTGCCGCCGCTGCCTCTGGCTGCGTTCTGCTGCTGCTGTTGCCCCGCAGCGAGGGCCTCAGGCTGTCTGTATTACTTACTGCTATTCCGATGCTGCGGTTATTGCTGTTGGAGGGACGAGCAGCAGCAGGAGCAGCAGCAGTTGGTGTTGCTGCTGCAGCAGCAGCTGCTGCTGCTGCTGCCTGTCTAGTGTTTCTGCTGCTGCTGTTGAAAGAGGAAGACTTTGTGTAAGCAGCAGCAGCAGATCCTGCTGCTGCTGCTGTTCGTGGCAGCGGCCTTCTGCTGCCTGCAACTTTGCGTGAGACGCAGCGAGTCAGAGGAGCAGCAGCAGCAGCAGCAGGAGCAGCAGTAGGAGTAGCAGCAGGTGGGTTACGCGTCCTTCCCCCTGCTCCCCGTCGTTGCTGCTGCTGCTGCTGCTGCTGCTGCTGCGAAGCAGCAACCGAGGAAGTAGGCGTCTTGTGTGCAGGTGTCTGTACACCCCACGTGCTGGAGAGAGAACGGTGCTGCTGCTGCTGCTGCTGCTGCTGCCTCCGGAGGGACGGCGGCTGCCGGCTTCGCAGCTGCTGCAGCGGCTGCTGCTCCTCCTGCTCTGTCTCTTGCTGCTGCTGCTGCTGCTGCTGCTGCTGCTGCCTCTGATGCTTGGGGCTGCCCTGAGGCCTTACATCGGAGATAAAATCTTCGGCTGCTGCTGCGCTGCTGCTGTTGATGCTGCTGTTGCTGCGGTTCTTCCTGCTGGCGTGCAGGAAGAGGCGCTTCCTTTCAAGCGCAGCAGCAGCAGCACCTGCTGCTGCTGTCCTCCCTGTTCCATTGATGTTGCTGCTGCTGCTGCTGCTGCCGCATGCAGCTGAGCTGCTGCGCAACGGAGAGACCTGCCCACACTTCGTTACCGGCCTACCTGCAGCAGCAGCAGCAACAACAGCAGCAGCAGCAAAGCATTAGTTCTGCTTCTGCAGCAAGAATGGAGACTCCGTTCAACTCTACGACCTAAGCAATACTTGTTGCTGCTTCTGCTGCTGCTTCTCTTGCTGCTGCTGCTGCTGCTGCAGCACTGTTCATACCTGCATGAGACTTAGCCCTTAAATGAGTCGCCGAGGTGTCGCTCGCGTACCCTCCTTGCTGCTGCTGCTGCTGCTGCTGCTGCTGTATTTCCATCAGAAGCTGCTGCTCTTGCTGCATTAGCCGCAGGAACTGCTGCTGCTGCTGCAGCAGACTCCACCCGTCAGGGTTGCTGCTGCCTCTTCGCTTCTCTTCGTCTAAGCACTTCTTTAGAGAGTCCGCATGCGCTGCCACTGTCCTGAAGCAGCAGCAGCAGCAACAGCAGCAGCAGGAAGGGACACAGAGAATGTCGCAGCAGCTATATATCAACGTACAGTTTTGCTGCTGCTGCTAGAAGACGGTGAAGCAGCAGAGGCAACACTACCAACGACAGCAACAACAACAGCAGCAATAGCAGCCCGAGCCACAGCAGCAACAGCAGCAGCAACAACAGCAGCAACAGCAGCAGCAGCAACAGCAGCTAACTCGATGCGACGCTGTAGGTCCCTCATGTTTGCAGCAAGAGGCTCAGCCTTATCATATGAAGCAAGAGGAGAGCAATCGCTGCGGTGCCTCACGTGCTGCTGCTGCTGCTGCTGCTGCTGCTGCTGATAGGGTTGCTGCAGCGGGTAGAGGGGCTGCCCTTGGAGCTGCGGAATTGGCTGCTGATAGAGGTGCTGCTGCCCTACCTGCTGGTGCTGCTGTTGCTGCTGCTGATAATAGTGCTGCGGTGTCTGCTGCAGCAGCAAATGCTGCTGCTGCTGCTGCTGCTGTTGCTGCGCAGGTGGCTGCGACAGCAGCAGCTTGTCCTGCCAACTCGCACGGGGAGAGAGAGGCAGCAGAATTGTCCCTGATGCGCTGCTGCACAAGCCCATATGCTGCTGCTGCTGCTGCTGGTGCTGCTGCAGCTGCTGCTGCTGCTGTCTTTCGTAGGGTATGTGCTGCTGGCTACAGGCAAATTGCTGCTGCTGCCGCGGCATAAACATGGGGGGCCCCTGCTGCTGCATCATTTGCTGCTGCTGCAGCATTTGCTGTTGCTGCATCATTTGCTGTTGCTGCAGCATTTGCTGCTGCTGCAACATTTGTTGGTGCTGCGGCGTCATCTGTTGCTGCTGCAGCATTTGCTGCTGCTGTAGCAGCTGCTGCTGCTGCTGCAGCGGCGTGCTAGGGAATGGACACCTCATGGTGGAGGTTGGTGCTGAGTGGTGGCTTGGGGCTGCTGCATCTATTGCTGCTGCTGCTGCTGCTGCTGCTGCTCGTGCAGCAGCAGCAGCAGCAACAGCAGCTGCGCTGCAACTTGACTGAAGAAGACAGCAGCAGACGCCCGTGCTGGAACAGAAACCGGCGTAAATTTGCTGCTATAGTTGCTGCTTCTGCTTCTTCTGTTGCTGCTGCTGCTGCTGTTGCTGCTGCTGCTTAGAAGACTGTATTTCTGCTCTGCAGCGGGAGCCCCTTCACTGCGTACAAACACACCTACGGTCGCAGCTGCTGCTGCCTGTGCTGCTGCTGCTGTTGCTGCTGCTGCTGCTGCGGCTGCTGCGGCCTTTAATACCTCTACAGGCGCGCGTTGAGTTGAATTGACTGAAAACAATTATAAAAGAAGAAAAAGAAGAAAGAAAAACAAACAAATCTTACAACTGCTGCACAGCGGCAGGGGCGGCGCCGAAGGCCGCAGAGATGAGGCAGTAGAACAAGAGTACAGCGAAGGAAATTAAAGGTTTTATCTGTCTATTAGTGTGTAAAGAAGAACAAAAAAGAGAATAAAAAGCATAAAACTATTTAAATAAAGTAATTTAAATATATTCAAAAGAAAAAAAACAAACAAACAAACAACAGGTAGCTGCAGCAGCAGAGGGCGGCCGCCGCGCCTCCATTTACAGCTGCTGCGGTGTCTAGGCAGCTGCAGGTAAGGAAAGTATTGAATTGAAGGTTTATTTAAAGGTAAAACATTGATTTTTATGTTTTTTATAACTTTATTTTGTAAAATTTTATTATTTTCATAAAGATTTCCTCTTTTTTAACCCCAGATACAGCCCCCCAGCACACACAACAGAACCACTACCGCCTACAGCCAACCGCAAGCCCAGTCCTATCGGCTGTCTGGGGTTAGAAGTTTATTATAATTAAATAAAATTAATTTAAATTGATGAAATAAATAAAAATACTTTTTATTCTTTTTTCTCAGCTTAATTCGTCTTCGTTTCCTTTACTTCTGCTGCCTTACACCACCGCATCGGCAGCAGGAGACAGACGACACACCAACAAGCAAATGTACAAACAAAGAAATAAAATAAATAAACCAGATAAAATAATTAAAATAATTAAAATAAAATAAATCAAATCAATAAAATCAGTCAAATAAACATAAAGACAACAGAAACAAACGCAGACACCGCTACCCTAAGAAAAGACAGACAAAAGAAGAGATATCAAAAAAGCATATAGATAAAATAAATAAATTAAATTAAATAAATTAAGCAAACAAAACATAAAACAGAAACAAACAAAATAAATACAACACGCAGCACAAATAAAACAAACTAAGAAATAAAACAAACTAAGAAATAAAACAAACAAATAAAACAAAGAGAAAATAACTCCGACAAGTAAACAAGCAAAACCCAAACAGCAGCAGAAGCAGATGCAGCAAACGCACCCCAACAAAGCGCTCCCTATACACCTACCCACTTATCTAGCTGTCCACAGCTAGATAGCTAGCTAGCTAGCTAGCTAGCTAGCTGTTTATAGCTATCTAGCTAGTTGTCTGTAGCGAGCTAGCTAGCTGTCTAGCTGTTTATAGCTAGCTAGCTAGCTGTCCATAGCTAGTCATCTAGCTGTCTCTAGCTAGCTGGTCAGCCGGCTGTCTCTAGCTAGCTAGCTAGCTGTCTGTAGCTAGCTAGAAAGATACCCGCAGGGGCTGCAGAAAGGAGACAGCAATGGAGACAGCTGCAGCTGTGCTGCTGGTTGTGTAGCTGCTGCTGCTGCTGCTGCTGCTGTCTGTCTCTCTTTTTCAATTTGTCTCTCTTCTTTGTTTCTGTCTCCTTTCTGCTGCAGCGATTTGTGTTATTTTGGTTCGTAGACAGCCCTAAACCCTAACCCCTAAACCCTAAATCCTAAACCCTAAACCCTAGGCGGCAAGCTGTAAGGCTTTAAATAAACGAAGAAGGGCCGCACTTATCACGAAGGAGACAAAACAAACAAACAAATAAATAAAAATAAATTAATTAAAACAAATAAAAGACAGTCGGAAACACACAAAAGAAATAACGCTTCCACTTCGGTCTTCTTTCTTCTCCTTCTCCCCCACCCTCCTGTATATATATATCTATATATATATACGTATATATATATAATATATATATATATAGAGGTATATATATACATATATAGAGGTATATATATACATATATAGAGGTATATATATATATATATATAGGTATATACATCTATATATATATATATATAAAGAAGTATATACATCTATATATCTATA